TAGAAATATAAATTTTATTTACTAAAATATAAGATATTTGATAAACCAATAAATTTTTATTTACATTAAATTGATTTATTTATTTTTTTCAGAACTTTTTTTTTCTTTCGTAATTATTCTAGTACTCCTCTTTCGTTTCTTGGGTTGTAAGTTTTCGTCTTCCTCTTCATCCTTACACAGTGTATTTTCGGCATTAACCAATTTATTAAGATCTTCACAATCCGATCGTTCCTCATCCTGAGCATCTGAATCAAGATAAACTGGTTGAGGTAGTTTTTTTCTTCTACGAGAAGAGTTAATTTCGACATTAGCATCTATAATGCTTGAGAAAGTCTCTGATGATTTAGAAGCATTGATATTATCGGATTTGACCGAGGAAGCCATTGATTTAATATGGTTTAGCGGTGTTTGAATAGTAATGGATTCAATGTCATCCGTCACAATATCAATAATCGATCGAGACCTAGGAATTGTTGAGGATGAACTTTCAGAAGCATTGTAGTTCAAAGTCAGGGTTTTAAAATAATCGATATCTGTTGCCTCGATAACCATTTTACCAGTTGTCGAGAATTTAATGAGCCCTGATACAAAATAAGTATTCCCTAATTTGATGTTCGAGCCCGACGGACCTAGATAATTTTTAAATCTAGAAGACTGAGAGGAATACAGAACTGTCATTTGCATTTTGACATTTGATGTGCCGGTGACGGCATTATACTCAGTACTTTCCACACCGAAATGGATAAATTCCTCAACATCTTTTGGATTACGATTAACGATTACGGAAAACATGCAATGAGGGATGCATATAGGGACGTCTCTCATATCGAATTCACGGTTAGGATTTTTATTATCAATTATGCTTGCGTACGTAATAGTAATACATTGCTCAGAGTTTTCGGCCACATATTTTCCCGAAATAAATACAAGGTCACCAGACGCAAATAGTTGAGGTTGTTCGCTTGTAGGGAAGAAATATTTCCATCTAATTGTCTGGGATGTTTCGTCAGAAATTTTGTACTTAGCGTAACCGTAAGAACACGAGCGACTGTTTTTCACAGAAGTAATAGCAACAATAAGTGCGATATGTGAAGGCATTTTTAGTAGAATTTAAGATTTTTATCCAATCGTAATACGTAATCGTACGAAGAGTTTTACCATGTCAGAATTTCAGCTCTTTTATAAAGAATTTTATTAATTTAAAGGCTTTAACACGAGAATTACCTCTTATGATACAAACATAGATCTTAACGGGTTATGGCGTAGAGATATTGAGAGATAATTCCAAGGATATTTTGCTTTGGTACGAATTTGATTACACTATTAGGAAATACCTTGGCTCTGAACGATTACCCTATTAATCCAAATGTATATTATCTATAATTATTGAACCATACATGATTGCTATTTTTAAGTCGATATACGGAAAAATCATTATGAGCATTTACTGTAATTATATTAATTGTCAGTTAGCTCCAAACACACCTACGTATTAATAGAGTAAATGTTATAACGACAAGCCTCATCTATTCAAATCAAATGAGGGCGAATTCAGTTAATTCACAAAAATGGAAGGTCTACGCTAGTTAACAATACAGATAAAGAAATCAGGCAATTATACGTATTTATTGACTATTACCATATTAATCTAATCGTATATTATACGTGATTGTTATTTTTATGCTGAAATACAAGTACGTACGGCCAAACGGGGTAAAGCAAACCAT